GACTTAGATTTTGATCCGCCTGCCTTCTTAGCAGCCGTTGAAACAACCTTCAAAGATGTATACTTTCCCATTGTAAAACAGTGAAATGCCGTTGAATTGATAAAACTGCTGCAATTTCTACGTAGACACTAGTACTTAGGCTACGAATACCGTTTGCAAAGTTCCGATCAGTTCGGTGCTTTTCGTTTTCCGTTTTTCTTTTTCTATCTGGCCTCGAGAAGAGAAAATGTCTTCAAGAGGACTTAAAAGTGAACAATCCGCATGAATAAGTCATGCTGGATTGGCCTCAAGAAGAGAGAATGTCTCCAAGAGGACTTTAGAAAGCAGTCCAGATGAATGAGTCATGCAGGCCTGGCCTCAAGAAGAGAGAATGTCTTCAAGAGGACTTACAAGTGAACAATCCCGATGGTGAATGAGTCATACTGGATTGGCCTCGAGAAGAGAGAATGTCTTGAAGAGGACTTTGGAAAGCAGTCCATATGAATGAATCATGGAGGAATGGCCCCAAGAAGAGAGCTTGTCTTCAAGAGGACTTACAAGGGGAGCAATACCGGATGAATGAGTCATCAGGGATTGGCCTCGAAGGAGGACTTTGGGAATTCAACGCAATGGGTGGAAGAAATAGATGGTGGAAGGCGGATGGCTCAACGACGCGGAACACGGCCTAGACACAGGACTGATGTCGGCACCTTGTGCAGAAAAAACAAAAACTGTTGTTGGCATTAGCCAATGCAGTCATGCTCTTGCCATTGCCTTCCTCATATTGCAAGCTCCATTGCGAGAAAACAATGCCGAATCTCTGTCCTTGACCAATCTATTGAAGTAGTGCTCAAAGCCATGTTCTACATAAGTTATGGGTGCTACAGAATGCTTGATAGATGCAGTCGGAGATAGGCATGCGCGTCCCTCCGCGCAGGGATTAACACAACCTTGCCGACGCTCTGTGGAGCATTTTGAATTTTATTCATTCAAAATAAATTGATTGGAAATCGAATGTTGTGCCGGCCTGCAACATTGCAAGGCCGGCAACCTTGGAACTTCACGGCCTAGCAACCTTGGAAATCGAGCAACCTTGGAAGTTGTCGATCAACACCCGCTTTGGTGGTGGTTTTGGGGTGCCTCAGGTGCATTGTCGGCAGCATAAAGGACCAGATACGGAGCATCATTGACAGTGTAGAAGGTGAGACGGCGCCCAACGCTGGTGGTCGAATTTCTGTTAGTTTGCGTCAGAACCGGTGGTATAGATTGGGTCGATCCTTTGCTTGCAAAAATTGAAACCATCATACGTGTAGACTTGCTCATGAACAACCTTTGGAAAAGGAAACATGAGCCATAAACCATAATAGAACAGGCACTTCTGTAATATTAGGGGGCTTCGGTGGACGACTTTTGGAGTCGAGAAGCCAAAAAAATACAATGACAAGCTGATGGTGTGGGTGTGTCCTCGGGTTTAGGAGCTGGATATCGGCCTCCTTGGCAGTCCTGAGGTTTTGCTATCCGTCAGGGGGAGGGTGGATGGCGTCGAGTGGTAGTGTCGACACTCCCGAGTTGGAGGGAATCACCTACACCATTCTTGTCAAGGGATAATTATGTAGAACTATTGAAGTAGTGCTCAAAGCCATGTTCTACATAAGTTATGGGTGCTACGGAATGCTCGATAGATGCAGTCGGAGATAGGCATGCGCGTCCCTCCGCGCAGGGATTAACACAATCTTCAGCCCGTTTCGTCGAGGCCCTTCGTCTGTCCGCTAGTCGTACTACGACTCAACGGATTGGGAAAGGCTCTCAAGACCCGTCCAAGGCTTTTACACCGACCATGCTGGTGGAGCAGTTTATACTAGATCCCCCGGGGAAAAAAGAAGGGGGAGAGGAAGAGAAAAAGGAAAAGAAAGAAAAAACGAAAAGAGAAGAAACGAAGAGAAAGGTATAGGAACGCAATGAAGGGGCTCTACAACACAACACTGGCCTCGTGCATAGCATCAGAAGACGATATACTCTATGATCCTGGCGATAGCCAGGATTTAGAACGATCTGAAACAAGGTAACAATCAATGAGTGTTGATGTGATGATCGCTGCGCATGAATTCATTGAAATGATGCTCAAGCACCTCTAATAACAGCGTAGTCTACACTGTGTCAGAGATTCGATAAACATTGAGACTTATCGTACTGTGAATTTGGATATCTCGAATACTTCAAGTTGCGGATCATGCCGTCATACATGAGAGACGAAGTTTGATTTTGAGTCGACAACAAACCATTTGAAAGTAATGTGAACCAGGGCATGAACAAAAACGCAACGCCGCCAGCTGGCATCAGCGTCATGCTTTCGATGAAAACTTAACTTATGCGAGGCTCGCGACAAAGAGACAGCATTGGATTCGATCCGCAGATTATCCCATACTTATATGATGTGCTAAATCAGTATTTTGAGGGCCAGCAAGAAAGATGAAAAAGGGCCAACGAAGAAAGATCGATGTCATCGAGAAGAGACTACAGAAGTATAGAACGATTGAGGAAATCCAACAATAAACAGGTCTTGAGTAAAAGTTCAAGGAGAAAGCACAGACAATACCCTTTTTGGGCTCCTACTACTTGATGGCCAAGTGTCAAGGACGCGCCATACAGTCTACTACCGCATGATGATAGAGGATATTTTCAGATTCTATTGTCGCATATTTGGTTCTGACAAGAAAACAAAGAACAAGGAGACTTGGTGCACCACCTTATTAAGACAATGGCTTGATTGTGAAGGTGAAGAAACCGCCTAGTAGATATAGCATTTGAATTCAGGAGCCTCCTACTGCCATGAGGGACTACTAAACGATACTAGTCAATAGATGCTCTATTAATAACTAGAAGGTTGAAAACATTTTCTGACGTATGAAGTTTTTTCCATCACAGCTTGTAGTGGTAGTGACTAATTTCCGGTTGCCTTCCCCCGACCATCACCATTTTAGGTAGTTTAGGAGTCATCCTAGGGGAGCTATAGCAGATTCTCATTATCCAATGCGAAGGTTGGTCGTTAAGATAAAGTGCAACAGTGCTTATAAAGGCAGAGGCATACTGCTAGGGCCGTGTGTTACTGTCCCCCTAATCACCATTTCAATGGGTTGGGACAGTACTAATTTAGTGGAGATAGTCTATTTTTAGTGAATGGCCCGCTGTGATTGGCTCAGACCACTAAAAATGGGTTGATTTTTAGTGATTCGACTAGCTCTCATTGGCTGAAAACCCACTAAAAATCCCACCAGCAAGACGGGGTAATTTTCAGATATTTGTGATATCCGGACGGACGGGGCTACTTCTGTGAGCGGGATCTCTAGTCGATTCCCGCTTGGAATGCTCGTCCAGCCGTTAAATTCTCGCTATGCTA